AATGACCGAAAACGATCGTTTGTCAACACGAATTTGGTTTTAGTTTAGTTTTACATTTATTAGTGAACTGCGGCTTTTATTTTATTTTTACTTCACTTTACTTTAATTTCGAAAATTCATTGTTCTTTCAGTTGTTCCTCAAATTTGAGCAGGTTCGAACGTTTGCTTAATTCCAGATTTTATTTATGGCGCGTTTTTTTTTGTTGCCAAACATTAGGTAAGTTACAAAATTATTCCTATTTTTCCTACGTTTATACACTCTATTGTATAACCTTTACTACCACCGGTCTCGTATGACACAAGGATGAGGTTTTGACATGCTGTTTGGGGACCTAAATTTAACTTTCAACAAATTTCCTGTGTGCGAATTACTCCTATCTACTTCTCTCCCTAAAGATGGATTCAGGCCGGAATTCGAAACGTCAGGTGAATAAAGTTCTCGTTTCAGTGGTCGCGTCGACTGCTTTTCAGTAGAATGTTCGCGCTGCTATCGGAACACGAGCTTCTTTCAGAGCCTCTATGTGCATTTCACTGATGGGAAAGTCGCCAGAAACAGCCAGGAAAATAGGCATCAGCCCCTATACCACCTTCTTAGATCTCCCCAAGACCTTCTATGCCGCGAACCAAAGTGAAGGCTAGACATTCATGCAGAAATGCGGACACCTTGAGACGTTTAATCGGGAACATCCATGGCAGGCTTAACGGACAGCAGACTAACCCTGGGACCCTTCGCCGTGACGGAACATGGCGATCTACTCGACTCAAAACTCTTAATTCGCATGGCCTCTGCAATGCCGATGCACACCAAGCCGTATGAAATCTGACCACCATCGGTCGGGTGCGTGCCGCCTTTTCGAAGGCAGACTTCACACGAAACTCTGCCTGAACCTCTTTGCTTCCGTCAGCTTACGACTGGCCAGTAACCAAGGCCTACGCAGAACCCCTACCCACAACAAAAACTTCTAACGCCAGTCAGGCCTTCGACAGGCTTAATTCCGCTGTCACCGGGGCATACGGCATTAAACCCAATCGAAGTTGTTAAATAGCACAGTTCTATGGTGCGACAGCATGAATGGTCGGCAAGAATCACCTTTTAGATCTTACTAAAGCATAATTTGCGTCCTACCTATTTTCGCCCTATCTCGAGATCAACGTTAAAAAAAACCCTGATGCTGTGTTTTGTCCTGGGATAGATTTAGAGTTAATTAGTGGTGAAGGATTTCATACGGCTATTTCGCTTGGAAACATGCTTTGAGATACACTCGTGATAAGGCCGAGAATTTGATGCTATTTGAGGGGCAGAGTGAGGATTACAGTTGGGGCCCTGACGACTCTGAAAAGGAGACTTAAATCTATGGTTCGGCTTTTGTGTTGAGATGGAGTTTTGGGGGTATTTTGAAGGAGTTCTATAAAGGCTATTCCAAATAGAGAAGCTGGGCCACTTGTACCCGAGTCATCTCCGGAGAATATGGAATAACCAGAACGGATTCCGTACACTCTCGGGTTTTCGGACCAATTGGCAAGTTAAGTGCATTATCAGTGCTGAACGAGATTCAATTTTGGAGGAAATTTAGTATACAAATGGGGCAATCAAAGGCTCGTGCCTAGTTCCCTCAATAAACTGGACTGAACTGTAGCAGCCACACCGTAAGAAGCTCTTCACACAGGCACTCTTATAAGCTGACATGATCTCTGGCGCTAGTCATCAGGACAGCCGAAAGCGACGTCACAGGGGCACCTTGAGGAAATTACACAAGTGCCTTGTGAGTCCTCTGTATGGAATGAGTAGGCCTTGTGATCTGCTGTAAAGCAGCAACTTTCCAAACCAATTGCATGCGAGAAGTTAAAGCGAGGCGGCAGCCACTCAGCGCTGAGGACCAACGCTTTTTCGACTGTCCGCACATCCCTTCCAATCCATCCCCCGCACCCATTGGCTCTTTCGGAGACTTTTGTCATCAGGGGGCACAGAATGACCACGAGTGGGTGCTGATTGGAGTGTCATGTTGTGACCGGAGTTTTCGGCCACGTTTTGGACAACGGCATTTCTGTCTGGCGAGCAGCTCTCAGGAGCCTATCCGAAAACAAACGATAGGCCCACGTAGTCTGCCTGCACCTTCAGACAGCATGTTGGCTAATTCGGACAGGTGTGTTGTCAGAGCAACTAGGGCCTCACACAGAGCTCAACCAACAACGTCTGCAATGAAGTTAGTCATCGTCCGTATCAGCGTACGAAAGGTTACCGCTTTTTGCGAAATATATGTAAATATGCAAAGGGACATTACCGACGAAGACCAGGGAGACTAGGGTGGCAATTTCTGGCTTATTAGCCGTCGTCAGCTAGTCATACCCAGTCTAAGTGTTGTCCCAGAAGTTAGTGCCCCGCTCGAGTTTCGAACCCGCGACCATGTTAGTTAGAAATCAAACATTCTAACCACTGCGCCGTGGGCTCGCCGTCTTGTCGGGGTTCTTTTGATTAGGAATATACGGTGGCGGATAGGCGTACACCTGTACACCTCTGCCTCTGTTTGATCCTACCACTCACACGGGACCGACTTGTATTGGAAAGCCAAGGGATCCATGTGTGCCTATTCCTCTTTATTTAAGTCGTTTGTATAAACAGTGAGGTTTTGAATTCCTGCAAGAGCTATGATCCAAATCTGACTTGGCAGTTGAGCATAAAGTTGGTAACTTTATTCCAATCGAATAAGTAAATTTTATCCTGAGAAAGCTTCTTTTATAAGAAAAACTATTTTTTTAAGCTCAGTAATTGGGTAATTGGCATCACTCTTGGCGAAATCGGAGGTAGCCTGACATCGAACAAATTTCCTATGCTATTTATAACGACAGAAGCAAAACTTTTGTGTGTTGTGCTGTAAGAGAATATCAACGTAAACAAGCAGGGTTTAAAATACCTCCTTTTAAGAAATATCGTATTGTTTGAGATTTTTATGTAAACATTGAACAGCATCTGGCTTTATGGAAGAAAGCTTGAAAATCTTGAAAATGCTCGAATATTTGCCTAAATTTAAAGAATAATACTAAACTAACTGTAGTCCAGTACATTAAGTATGTATCAATAAATATGACAAAATACCAGCTATTCTGATATAAAAAAAATTGTATGTTTGTCATTTCAGCCAATGATTATATGTAAATTTAGTGGTTTAATTTACAGCTATTTTTCACATCTGCGGAACTGAGTACGTTATGCAAAATTTAGGCTGATTTCGCAAACGCTTTTACGCATTAGATAGTTCTGATTTTGACATGAAATTTCCTCCATCCCGGTATCTGCAAGGTTACTTTGGACACTTTTAAATCTAAAAAAACGTAAACTATATCTACTGCAGCATTTCATGGACATCCGGTCTCCCTCGATGGGCGGGTACTTTCAAAGACCAAATTTCAAGGAAACGTAAGTGTAAGAGATTAAATTTGCCAGAACCTATTCTGCGCAATATAACTGAACTGAGAACTCCATAGATTAAACATAAAAAGCCATAGGGATTCTCTCTCGGGAAAAACCACGACATGCAACAAAAGAGGACTGCAAGGCCTTGGCCAATCTGAGTTTACCCCCCAATCTGTGCTCGTGTTTCTTCTTAGCGCTTTACAGTTATTGCAAGTTTTCCAAAAATTCCGAGCCAGCTCGGATGGTTCTCCTTAACTTTTTGCAAAACCCCCGTTCCCGTCACCCCACTCACCTGTCGAAGGAAGAAGCAGCTTTTGGCTTCCGGGGGGCAAGCCTTCAGTGGAACCCTTCGTTTGTCCAACGGGAAGCATCCGACGTCGCTGACGGAATGGCACTGGTAGCAGGAGATGGCATTTACCGAGAAACTGACAAAGGCCACCAGGAGGCTGGCAACGAGGAAGATGATGGCACTGCTCTTGAGGGACATTTTGTCGCTCCGCAGGCTGGCAGTCCGAAGAAGTTAAACCGGCAGTCTCGTAAGCTCTCAGACCAGTGCAGAGGCCTCGACGAGACTATTAAGTTGCCTTCGATTCGCTGGCTATTGTCCAATCGGACTGCGGCAATGCAGCCACTCACCTGATTGGATAGTTGGCTCAGCGAACGAGAGCGCTCTGGCCACTTGGCGGCTGCGTTGAGGGCTGGCTCTGCAAGAAGTCTGTTCACTGATTTTGATGATGCAGCCTGCTTAGGGGAGGAGGGGGGGGGGGCACTCTCTCTGAATATGAAAATTTATCTCAAATAGTTCAAAAATGGACCATCCAGAAGAAAATTGTCATGTTTTATTTAGTGGTCGCTGTCGGAACACCTTGTCCAAACCCCAACTTGGGAAACTCCAGAGTTTGAACCGGGGTTGGGTTGATTGCGCGGCCTACTTTATTAGCTGGATCACGGACTGGCGTTTGGTCAGTTGCAATTCTGAACAGTTAGGGTTGAGCGGAAGTAAGGCTCAACGGGTCGATCAGAACAGAATGCAGAAAATATGCTGAAATTGAACTGAAAAAGACTAGGGAGACCGGAATGGCCATTTATAGCTTATTAGCCGTCGTCGGCTAGTCCCGGTTGTGGATCACCCTAGATTCGAACCCACGACCCTTTGATCGTGAAGTTTAACACTCTACCACTTAGCCACATGTCTGTTGTTTTTGTTAGTTGCGATCGGGAATATGATTTTAATAGGACGCTCCGAAATGCCCCTG